AAATTATTGTGAATATGTGGTTAAAGGTTGGAATGAATGTAGTTAGGCTCTGTAGTTCTGACGCTACACTTCAGAGTTAGCCACTTTTCAGAATAGTACTTATATTCATCTCAGGGTTTAGAGATGAATATAAGGTGTGTTCTGAGGTCTTGTTATGTTGAATTTTAACACGTTAGTGTTTTGATTGCAGGCGGTAGTGTTGAACACTTGTACATAGACAAGCTCGTGTTTGGTGTTTTCCTTTACAATACATGTCAGAGAGCACGGGGAGATAATTAAATAAACGTCATGAATGAAATAAGAATGAATTTTAAAAGAGAAATATAAGTATTCATGTTACTTGCCATTTAATTGTGTAACATTTCATTAAACTAGTTTTGCTTCCAGATCTCTGGAAGGAACCAGATTTCAACTAAAAACTCCTGTTTAGATGCAGTACAGATGAAAAATCTTGTCCATGGAGTTGATAATGTAAAAACGACTTTTTTAATTTCTAGTTTCTAGTGAGAAATGTTTGTAAAAGATTGGCCTCGCGTTAGATTCTAGAGCTAAAAGTTTTCAACAAGGTCGTTTTAAACCTCAGTTTCAAACTAATTAACTCTGGCGGGAAGTATGTAAGATCCTAAGTTAAGTATTTTATTTTAAATCTTTACTATCACTTCTTATTTTCTACTTCCGGCCAGAATTAAAAGCTTTTAATTTATTTATGCAAATTTGTCTTGCTAACGCCAAGTACTTAAGTTGTGGCTTTTTGCCAAGCAAGAGAGAGGAAGGAGTTATTAGAAGCAGGCCGCTTGCCATAGTAGTTTTACTCGTTTGCTGGTTGCCTTCAAGGCCAGAGGTTTAATCCTCTTGATAATTTTAAACGCATCGTAGTTTTAGCAGCTCTCTGTACTACATACGGCTTTTTGTTAATTAACGGCCAATCTTGGAGTTAGGCACTTGTTTATTAATCCAAAGTTAGTTTAGTTAGAGTTTTAGTTAATATTTTTATATTCTTACGTTCAGACCACAAGTGGTTGGTCTCTGTATTCCGAAGTCCGGAAATCATTGTAAAGAGAGAAAAATAAAGGGTTTCGTATACCCTTCCTGTGTGTATTGTCTACTTCACAATTTATTGAACATAGCTTCAGTAAGCTCCCTGTTCCGAATCAGGACAGTTAATGTTTCCAAAGCAAGTAAAGAGGAATACCAGTCCTGATACACTGAATAAATTATCGTTAATTACTTAGCAGTAAACATTTCATTTTTTTCTTCGTCGATATGTTATCTTATTATTATATATTATAATTTGCCGATATATTGGCCGGGTCGCAAAATATTTGTTGTGGGCCGCATGCGGCCCGCGGGCCGCGAGTTTGACATCCTTGCTTTAAACAGAAGCTTATTAATACTAATTAAAAAATAAGTTTATGTTTAAAGGATTAGATGTTATTGAGAAAGCAAGTGAAATATTTTTGGTTCAAATTAATACCAGGCCACAAACAATTATTCAAGGATAAGTTGTCTATTTCCTGTGAGCTCTCCTCAAATAAAATACTCGTTTTCGTAATAATAATGCTTTCTTCTTTCTATATCGCCTTTGTTTACTGGTTTGTAGAATCTAACACACTTTATATTATCTCTTGTCCTATGTGCTCACTTGAAGCTTCCTGCATTTTAAGTATAATATCTTATCATCCTGCACTTTTCTTACTGGAATCTTTATTCCTTTCTCTGCTAAACCACAACTGTCGCCTAACTGCTGCCAGGTTTAATTCCAGGGCAAACTAAAAGCACCGCCATCTATGAAACTAACTGTTTTATCAAATATCTCCAGTGGTTTATCTTCATTATAACAACTGGAATTATCTCTAACAACAACTGATTAAAAGTGAAAAATTTTTTCCATTAGGTCTGGGCATCGTCATAAATAAATCTTCAACGTTTCAACTTTGAAGATACCCAAATGCTAAGTTTTTCAGCACTAAATTTATAATTGGTATGTAAATTTGGCTAGATCTTATCAAATTGAAGGGTAACTGATCCAAGAAGTAACTGAATTTTATTTGGTTTGTGAAAGTCAGGATCATCTAACGTTCCTCTTTCTAGAAGTACAATACTACAAGCATCTGTTTGTGTCAAAAAATGAGTAATTTTCTTAATTATTCCAAAATCAAGTTTTCAATGGTATGTTTTTTCTCCGTTGAAAACAACAGCACTCACTTTCGATTTCCCCGTCTTAGAAATTTCTGATAAATATCCTACTGATAAGCTTACATTTTCTTTCTGAAAATGAAGCTTTTCATCTTTTTCAGATAAACAAAGATGGCTCCTACACATTTCCTAAAGTTCTCCATAGAACAGGAATGGAAAGCAAAATCAGGAGATATAGTTGTCTCAGTTGTTCTAGTTGTCTCAGCCTGGCCAAACTAACTCTGATGGCCGAGGCGTCTCTCGCCTTCATGGAAATCAAAATCTGCAGGAATTATTTCTTAAATATAATTTTCTTTCTCAAGTATTAACTATTTCATTTTTTTTAAACTGAGGAGCCGTAGTTTTATGAAGGAGCAGGATACTAAATCTTAATTTATTCGGCACGTCGAATAGGAACAGAGATATCAAGCATTTTCATGCCGACGCCGGAGGGAGAGCAATTGCCCCTCGTCGAAAACAACACAGCCGGGACCATCCGCTAAATAAGAGAACAAGAATGCAAAAGCAAAAGGAGCGAAATTTCTGCCTGCAACATTTTTACATATGAAGAGACTGCCACATTTTCCAACAGGCACTAGAAATTGTGAAAAACAAGTCTTTTCATCTACCGCCTAACGCGCTGTAAAATTTCTCCTTTTTTCAGAGACTTAAATTAACCACAAATTCACACATCGCCAGAAAGTCAGGCAAATAAACCCTGCGAGACAGCCGAACACAAATTCTCACCCCACCGGAAATTCCTTATCAGTGAAACAGGACAGCTAAAAACTTGCTCAAAACTGTGTTCTTTCCCCCAATTACTCCAAACGGCTAAAATTGCAAAATCTAGATAAATAAACCTTATTAGCTTAAAATCTATTATATCTAAAGACTTTAAAAAAGTTTTAAATTGAAGAGCTAACTTTTCTGCTTCCAATGGTATAAGTTATGAATAGGTAAACGTAAATTAACGATCATAAATTGAAGAATATTACGTGAAAAAGTATCTAATTCCATTGTCTATGCAGCGCGTTCACAGTATAACGAGTGAAATGAAAATACAAATCTTACGTACCAAAACCCCAATTAAGGTTAAAGAAATTAGCACAGAGATTGATTAAAAATACACGTTGTTTAGCGTTATTTAAAATATAAATAAATTAATTTTTGATAAGTCATAAATGACTTAATTAACTGAACTTCGCTACACAAAATTGTTTTCTCACTGCGGTGCCTCTTCTTCCTTTTGCCTTTTTAAAGCCCTTTTCAGAATCTGCTTGTATGGACTACTTGTTTTCAGTACTGTTGTTTGAACTTCGTTCAAGCCTTTTCCAACTGAGAATTTAGATGGAGTTGGAGAGATTTCACTGAAGGAAACTTTAAATTTTTGACAACAATTTTGATGTGCCAGCTGGAAATGGTTCTGATTCTGTTCCACTGGTGTTTGCAACAGATTTTCTTCTTGGAAACTTCATGCCATGTGACAGTACACTAGTAGAAGCAGTTAGCCTTGTGTTATGAACTTCTACAACAGCTACATTATTTGTCTTAAACTGCACTGCTGCAACAAAATGAGAATCTTGAAATGTATCTTTGTTCACTGGCGAAACTTCTGTTTTAGCAAAACCATTCCTTGTTGTTCTCCTTAATTTTTCTTGGTCTATTTATTACATAATTTGTCTATTCATTATACAGATGCAATTTTAAAACTTTAAATAGGCATAAATTATGAAAGAAGTAAGGAAAATCATTACGATAATTTCAATGCAATATTCATTTTACACACGAATTAAGAATCCTTCAGTTTAGATTAAAATTAGATAGTTAGCTTATAATTATTTTAGAACAAAGAAAATGAAATCATTATCTAATTATAGATTTAATTACTCCAGAAAGCATTTTAGTAAATCACATACAGTGGCATTATATTCTTCAACTTAAAAAAGTTACAGAATATTAGCCTCGATATGGTTTCCATTGATGGGCCACCAGGTCATTCATAGCAACGTAGGCCGGCTTATTGAAGGCAACTAGCATTCGGTACATAATACGTCCGTGATTTCGATTATAACAAAGTAAACAGCCATTGTTAATATAGCAAAATGTCGCTGATTTAAGACAGTTTTAAATGTTATCAGTAACAACTAAAACACTATCAACTTCTCACTCATATCTATATTTTCTTTTCATTGATGAATTAGAAGAAAAGAGCAAAAATCTTAATTTCTTGTACAGCAAACTTGTTTGAGCATGGATCTTTTCCCAGTCAAGCTTCATGTAGTATACTAGGCAGTCAACAGGTAGCGCCAATTGTAAATAACTAGAAAATAAGGGAGGTGGCTCAACGAAAGAGCTGGCCCATCGATAGCAACCTTACCCTATATTAAAATTAAAAGTTAGAGTAGATTATATATCTCAATTAGACGTTTGACTCTTATAAAACTTAGTCGTAAACTTCAAATTAGTTTAAATAACTTTAGCATTGTATAAAACTGTAAATTACTAACTATTAACTTTATTCGTATCCTTTAACTTAACTAATTTGGTAGTAACTACATTAGTAATTAACTTTAGTTGTAAACTGTAAATTAGTTACATATATTTTTTAAAACTAGCTTGTAAACTCTAACTACAGTCAATTGCTTCTACGTCATAGAAAACACATTGTTATTAAACTTTATTAAAGACTTATCCTAACTGATTATTTTTTTCTCTCAATTTCACTTCTTTCAATTATATATAAAGTTATTTTGTCTTTAAAAATCAACCTTATCGCAATTTTCAAAATTGCATCAATGTCTTAACTATATCTATTTTCTTTTCAGATGTGATACTCTTTGATAATAGCTATAGCTGGATACATTCTAAACAGATTTATTACAAGTTAAACGTGGTGCCTCCGCAAAGTCAAGAAATGTATTGAAAACTGGAAGAATCTGTGCAGATTTAAAACTTTTAAAAAAGTCTCAAATTTATTCACTTATAAGTTATAATATACTTATGTAAAAAGTAGAGAAATTCCAGTAACATATTTAACACATTTTTATTTGTAAAGAACACCAATTGTGCCATACATCTGCGTACTGGACATTTCACTCGACTTTCTGTATGTCATAAAATTTAAGCACTTCATAATGGTATAATGATCTAAATAAAAACTATTCATGTAAGCGTACTGCTTATGTTTCTAAAAGACTTTCATTTAATTTAAAATGATATTTTGTAGTTTATTTAATTTTAAAAAAGAGCATATCTTTTAAGATTAAAAATACTGTACCGAAATTAATAAAAATTTTGCCCAAGAATTAAGATTTCGAGTTTATGAATAAAAATTAATTTGAAGTTCTTACTACAATTAAATGATCTGATTAACAATGTATTCAGCGGAAAAAATTATTTAACACTCAGACTTAGATAGAAATTTGTAAATCTGCAGTTTGAAATAAATGATTAAATTACTGAAATTGATTTTGCAATAGTGAGAAATATTTAATTGTGCATATTCTAGTGTACATATTCATATACTTATGACCAATTTAATGAAGCTATCAACAATAAATTGAATCATAACTGTAAGGTTAACAGTGAAGAATGAGAATTAAAAGCTACAGTAATTAGTAATTAGAACAAAACACTGTTACTTAATTTCATTTCTTACAAGTAGTTTTGTTTATATAATACAACATCTGAAAATTTAAAATTTGTTGGAAATATCATTGCTTGGAAAATAAATTTAATTCACACTTTTGAGGAGTCTTATTAAGTTATGTGACCATACAAATTTCCATATGGCGTTTTATCCTCATAAAGTATAATTCTGTACTAATTCACTGCTTCTTTAACTCATTGAACACTCAGAAAGAATAACAGCCCTTTGATTAAATAACCATAATTATAGCACATTATCATTTTTACATAAGTAGAATGACCAATAGCAGTGCAGGTAAACATTATACCGGAGAACAATTTCTGTTAAGTTCCATTTTAATGGTTTTAGAGTTAAATAAGTATGCTCATAATTAAGACACAATAACACGCCGAACAAATACTCATTCAGAAGTCAAGCAACAAAAATCAGCGTTATATTTTCAAATTTTCACAGGACTAGTTTCGATGGTTTTACCAAACCACCATGCTCAGTTGCTAAAGCGCAAATGAACGAGATAGGATATAATGATTTTTCTAATTCCAATCCATCTTTGCCTTCGGCCTTTAAAGAAATTATGTTTTAGTTCTGGTTTCATCAATAGATGGCGCCACAAGCTTATTTTCTGTCCAGGCTATCTTATATTATCTAATCATTATATCCTATCTCGTTCATTTGCGCTTTTGCAGCTGAGGATGGTGGTTCGGTAAAACCATCGAAACTAGTCCTGTGATAATTTGAAAATTTAACGCTGATTTTGTTGTGTGACTTCTGAATAAGCATGTTCATTTCAAACAGTAGTTAGTCTTCTTCTACCATGTCAAGTTTTTTCTCTACACCTTATATGAATATGACCACTTTCCGCGGCATCATACGTGGATCATAGGAAGTACTACTGCTCTCCTATGAATTGGCGATAATTCAAATAATTGTTACTTTTATACGGTGAAAACGTCACGATATAGCAATAAAAATAATTGTACAATATCGTATCCTAATTTACCATCAGCTATACACCCAGTGCGCTTCACTCAGCTGAGATTCCAGTGCCAGCTTTGAAAGAATTACCTTCTTTGAGAATACAGGAATATGATTGTGGTGAATATCGAATTGACACGGACAGCGAAAATTTTGAAATTGAAGATAATTCCATTCATATGGGATTTGATCAGAGTGAGTTAAACGATTTTTCACGGGATTTGGAACTATCCGAAAAAAGCTTCAGAGCTGTTAACGTGACTACACGAGAAAACTTTCTTGGAGAATGAGCTTAAGATACCCTACTTCCGATCAGGAGAAATTGAGCTTCCGCAGTACTTTCGAAGTGTTGATGGATTTGTATATTGTCATAAATGGAAGAGTTGAGAATGTCATTGATGGAAGAGTTGATAATTCCAGCCTATAACATAGCTCATTGGCAATTGCTCATCGACTCAAAGGGGAGTTTTAAGTATGTTTTCTTCCACAATGGAAATTTATTTGGTGCAATCTGAATAGGCCATTCAGTTTGTTTTTGTGAAGAATATGAGGACACAAAAAGATTCATTGATTTGTGCAATATCACATACATCAGTGCATCATCTGTGTTTACCTTAAATTGGTTTGCTTCCTCATTAGCCAGCAAAGCGTACATACTAAGTGTGCTTATTTTTTATGTATGTGGCATAGCAGAGCTTTTGAGAAGCATTGGGTGCAATGAGGGGCTGGCCGCCAAGATCTGACGTGAAACTTGGTGATCCAAACATTCTGCATTAGACACTTATCGATAAAAAGAACATTATATTTCTGCCTCTGATTATAAAATTTGGTCTCATGAAGCAATTTGTTACATCTTTGCCAACTGACGGAGATTGTTTTGAGTATCTCATTTCGGCATTTCTTAGCCTGTCATTTGAAAAGATAAAGGCTGGTATGTTTGACGTTCCGTATATTCAGCAGCTCTGTAAAGATAAATATTTCATCGGCAAAATGATAGAACTTCAAAAGAATGCTTCGTTGACATTCTCAAAGATTATCTTGAAGAAAATACACGTGTAGCAAAATAATTTATCCAACAGATGGCAGTATCTGCCAAGCTCCTTTGGTAATTGTGAATGCGCATGCGCAACCTGAGTGTAGAAGAAAGTATGTTATAGGAGAATGAGCTGAGCTTTCGTTAAGAATGTTGCTGTGCGTTTTCGCTATGTAAATAAAAGTATATTTTTGTAACATAGATGTTATTAACATAGACGTTCTTTACTCTCTAATGCGAAGCACTAGGTTAGTGCACGAATCTCGATTGATTCAGAATCCATTTTCAAACCGTGGATCACCACAATAAAAAGTGGCGTCCGTCTAACAGGACGCATTAGTTAGGTAAAGGACACTTTTGATGGTTTAACAACAGAAAATAGAAGCATTGAAATTAAGAAGAGTACCACTGCGTGCAGCCTTCACGAAAGCATATCATAGCTTACATGGGCATTTGAATGAGTCAGAATTGAACAGTGATGTTCTGTTATCGTCCCTGGAAATTCTGGAAGATAAAGGAATTCGATTACAACAGTTGGATGAAGAAATGTTGGATCTCCTATCGAAATCGAAAGAAATCTCGCAAGAAGAATATACTAAAGAATTTGAGTCACGTGAGACTTACAAGGAGAAATTAATAGCAGCCAGGATAAAAGTGAAGCAAGTCACTGTGAAAGCAGGGAATGACACATACATCTGTAAACGAAACCAGAACTATTGATTCAAGAGCAACGCCAACGAATTTGAAGCTTCCGAAAATAAATTTGATTGAATTTACAGGTAATCCACGACAATGGTTGAATTTCTGGAATACTTTTAGTAAGATACACGAAGATCCAGTTCTAGATTATCACTTGAAATTCGTATATCTGATCCAAGCTACTGCTGCCAAATTGAAAGCACGAGAAATAGTGCAGAGCTTTCCGACAGCTAAACAAAATTATCCGAAAGTCATCGAACATTTAAAGAACCGTCTTGGACGTGAAGATATTCTTATACAAGTGTACGTTCAGGATTTATTGAATCTTGTGTTGATAAATAATAATACAACCAAAAAGGACTTTACGCTATCATCGTTGTACGACAGTTTAGAAATCAAAGTACGTGCTCTGGAATCTCTCGGTGTGACTGAAGATACGAGTAAATACGCTAGTGTTATTTTTCCGTTATTTGAATCTTGCCTGCCCTCTGACATGTTACGCGTGTGGGAGAGGGAACGGGAGAGCTCGTCACAACAGGGTAAGAGCGATCTTGAATCTATTCTATTCTTCTGTTTTTGAAAAATGAAGTGATATCTGAAGAGAGAATTAAATTAGCGCTTTTTTCTTTTGATTAAAGTAGAAAATCTAAACTTTGCATTAATGATGAGTCTAATATTCCTTCTTGTAATGATTTGTATACAGGAGAAAATAAGTTAAAGAAAGAAAGACAAGTTAAAGAAAATGCTCCTATTAAGAAAGCCGAGGAATCTTGTTTATTTTGTGATAAATCACATTTAACAGAAAAATGTTTTAAAGCTCTTACATATCAGGATAAAAAAGATTTAATATTTAAGAAGGGTGTATGTCTATTGTTTTTTAAAAAAATCACATCTCTCGTGACTGTAAGTAAAGGTTAAGTGTTTAATTTGCCAGAAAAGGCATTTGGCAATAATGTGTCAACAATTTCCTTCTCAATTGAAAGAGACTAAACAAGTAGAGCCCTTGGCGAAAAATAAGGTTAATGTTTTGGCTAGCAGATCCGCGAGCTCCGATGTGCTATTACAAACATTAATCGGAAGGGTAAAAAATGGCAGCAGGGAAAGGATAGTGAGAGGTATAATAGACACGGGTTGCGAGAGAAGTTATTTAACGAAAGATATTATAGATTATTTGAAATGTAACAGTGATGGTGAAGTGAAATTAGTTCATAAATTATTCGGAGGTGTAGAAACAAAAGAAAAATTGCATTCTAAATATCTAGTTCATTGAGTAGCCTTGATAATAAATATGTATGTGGTGTGGATTGTTTAAGTGAATCTGTTATCTGTTCTGAGGTAAAAAAAAATACCTAAAGGTCCTTGGTTGAAAGAACTTTGTAAATTAAATATTCAGGTGTCGGATGCAGAGGGTAATGCTCCCGAAAACGAAAGTGACATTAAATTGTTGATGAGTTCTGGTATTGCTGGAAAATTATTCACCGGAAATATTAAATGTTTACAAAGTGGTCCGGTTGCGATGGAAACACGTTTGGGATAGATTTTAATGGGTAAAATTCCAGCGAAGGAATCTTCGGGAATAAATGATTCTCTTGCATGTGTTTCTTTATTGCTAAACGAAAGATCAGCAGAAAACTTGTGGAAGTTAGACGTTATTGGTATAAATGACCAAGTTGGGTCTAAAAAGAAAGCTGAAATTCATGAGAAGACCATGCAGTATTTTGAGGAAAATTTGAATTTGGATTCAGACGAGAGATATGAAACTGCATTACCTTGGGTACTGGACCCCTCTCGCTTGTCTAATAATAAAAAGTTTGGCAGA